TAGAAGCATTTAAGGTAATATGAATATATTTTTTCTGAACGATTTAACAGTTTCAATAGCATATGTAAAAGAAATGATGTGATACTTGTGGTCCGTTCTCGCAATTCTGAGCGTGGGACTGTTGCATGTTTTAATTTGTCCATGTTTTTGAGTAAGACATTTGTAGATCAAAGTGTCATAAGTGGGCAAAATTAGTGAAAGGCATGGTTTTTCAAAGTTCTGATGAGACTAGTTCTTTTTTAATTGAGTGGATAAACTTTGAAAGGACTAGAGAGCAGAGGAGAAGGTGACTGTACCAATTAAATGACAGATTTTAATGAGCATTGTGCTTTACTATGTTATATCATGGATGCTGTAATTGTAATTCAGGTGCATGTATCACTGAAGACCTCTTTTGGAAACTTGTGGGCATGGTGTGGGTTGTTGTTTTTTTGTTTTGTTTTGTTTTTTTAAAACCTTAAATTGATACAACTATTTCCTTTCAGGGTGAAACACAGAATTTTTTCCGTTCTGGAAAACTTGGGCAGAGATAATTCCAGCTGAATTCTGTCTTGAGTGGCAAAGCTCCACAGATTGATTGCAGGCTCAAGATGTGGACAAATGGCTGGGAAAGGAGAGAAGTTTATCTCGTTACCATGGTGGAATGTGGTAGGAAAAGCATACGCACTTGACTCTGCAGTCATAAGTTTGTTATTTTCATCACGAAGCATGTGAACGCACGCACAGAGCAGAATCTAATTTTACTGTTGGGTATACCTTCCTCAAAAAAAGGAATTGTTTTCTTTGTGAAAAGTCAGTCAAGAAGGAGTCTTCTCAGAGCAGTTCACGTGTGTGGTTTTACACAGGGATATATATTTTTGTAGGACTTCCGTGTTGGCAAATGGGCAGGTTATAAATTTAAATAAGTAGAAAGAATGTTGAATTCATAGAGAGGCAGCATTCTGGAAGACTTTCCTTCAGAACATGGCAAAATACTACTGCTGCATCTTCTGAAGTACTGCTGGGGGAAAAAACTCCTTGAGAGAGAGTATGTGTGACACAGAACACTAGAGTAGGGTAATGCTGTGATGGAACAGAGCTTATGAAGAAACAGCAATTCAGAGAAATCGTAAATGAAATACCTGCTCATGAGCAGAGTCTTTTCAGTACTGTTTTCTCTTTAAATTATTACCATTATGATATTTTTATCTTCTTTAAAATCGAAAACCAGAGATTTTAACAATTACTGTCTGCCACAATTAGTGAAATGTACAAACACTTATTTTTATGCTGAGCATTCTTGTGGGGACTCATTCCTTCTTAGAGCTGGGCAAGAAAACACCTGCCTGTTCCTTTAAGCAGCAGTTTGCAGTGAGGGAGGGGGGAAGAGGAGGGGCAGGAGGAAGAGAGCAGGCTCTGCAAGCTGCTGGCTTGATGACGAAATGCACATGGCATGTTTCCGAGTCAGTTTAGTGAAATAGGACACAGCAGCAGGAAGTGTCAGCTTTGACTATTGCAGAAACTGGTGATCAGCTAAAGCTCCTTTACAAGAGGGTGGAGCTCTCCTGCTCACCCTTCAGCATGAAATTGCGTTTGTCTTTTCACAGTGCTGTGAGAACTGTGGTGGGCTGAACAGAAGAACAGCGGTAAGGCAGGGCAGGTTGAGGCACAGCTTGTCAGAGATGTGCCACTCATAGGCCCTTCTCCTGATGTGTTAAGGATAAGAAGTCTGCCACAGCCCTGAGAGCAAATAGATCATTCAGGTATAAAAACACCCTATGGGATGTGCTACGGGAGTTCTGAACTTAGCAAGAAAAAAATAAAGAATGATTGGAGTTCTGAACTTAGCAAGAAAAAAATAAAGAATGATTTTTTGTATTCGTGCTCATCCTGGAAGAACATGAATGTCAGTGCCAGTGCCTTTTCTTAGGGCTAATCTTCCATGAAAGGATGTCTCAAATTGAAGAGTCAGTAGAAGGCAGTTACAGAATGAAATGTTCCATAACAAAGCACCATGACTGGCTGATACTCACTCTTGTGTTCTTTTGTTGTACATGTCTCATTTAAAGCACCTTTGGGACCAAAAGATCATAAAGTGATAAATGTTTTTTTGTCCTCTCCAAGTGATCCAAAGAGAGGCAGGAGAGTAGAGACCAGTGAGTCTGGTGTCTGCAGCAGGCACCTGGATAGAAAGTGCTTTAAAGAGTGGAACCAGTGGAAATGAAGATAAATTATTCAGGGAAGGAGTCAATGGTGACTTTTGTAAAGGGAATTCTTGGCTTTCAAGAAGAAATTATTCTCATATGTATAAATAAGTAGGTAAAAGATAATTGCTCAGTTTTTTGGACAGAGGAAGATCACTGCTGGAGTCCCAGACAACTCTCTTCTGATCAGCATGTATTTTTAATGATCTGGACAGAGGAAAACTCTTGCAGTGGCACAATTTTCCAAAAATACAAAGCTATTCAGGCTAGAACACACGTGGTAATTGGAGAGAGTGGCAGAAGGATGTTGCGATAGTGAATGACTGGGTAATAATAGCAAAGGAAATTTGTTGTAGATAAATGTAAAGAATATTTACAATTAATTGTAACATTGTATGCTCAGTGGCTGACTGGGTTTACCAGATTTCAACACTCAGTAATGAGACCTTGGGATTTTACTATGTGGACTCATGGAAATATCGGGTGGATACTCAGTAGTACTCAAAGAACAGATAGATAGTTAGAGATTATTAGGGTAAAAATAATAATTGGAAGCTGTCAGGTAAAACAAGCAGGTAACAAGGCTGAAAACATACCAAAGACAATATTTCCTGTGTCCTGTATTAACTGTGTAATGCAAAACGTTGACTTCAAATTGTGAAAGTTTACATTGGAAACCACTAATTGAAGGTTTTCTTCCCTTTCTGCAGGGAAACTTGACAGCAAAACCATTGTTTTTATGTAATATCACAACAGCACTTCTGTTTTTAATTATTGCAGGTAAGTTTATTGGTGGCTATGGAGGGTCTTGTTCTGAAACTTATTTTTTCGCACAAGTAATTTTAGTTTTCTGTGAAAATCTCTGTAAAAGTCAAACTTACGTGCATGCCAATGAATTCTTTCAAACTGTCCTAAAAGTGGGAACCTATAAAACATACGCAGTATTTTATGTACTATCTTACCACAGAATCACAGAAGCATTTGGGTTGGAAGGGAACTCTTGAGATGATCCAATCCAGCCTCCTTGACCTGCCCCCCACCCAGGGTCAGCTAGAACAGATTGCCCAGTACCATGTCCAGTTGGATTTTGAACATCTCCTCCACAAGTGGAGACTCCACAACCTCTCTGGGCAACTTGTTCCAGTGTTTGATCACCTTCATAGTAAAAAAGTATTTTCTGTGTTCAGGTGGAATTTTTGGTGTATTTCAACTTTTTCTCGTTGCCTCTTGTCCTGTCAGTAGGCAGTACTGGCAAAAGTGTGCTCCTTGTTCTTCATTCCCTCCCGTCAGGTATATACACACTCCCCAAGCCTTTTTTTCTCTAGACTGAACAGTTCCTGCTTTTTTGGTCTCTCTTTACATGAGAGATGCTCCACTCCCTTAAAATCCCATAAAATGACAGTATTTCAGCATATTAGCATTTAGTGACAGAAACAGGGTTATCAGTTCCTGTGGCCGCAGCATCTCATAACCACCAGTGTTGTTCTGGGGCATTAAATACAGATATAGGAACGATTATATAGATGAGATATATGTTACTATGTATATATGTGATATGTGAGCTCTATCATCAGCAGTGGCCAGAAAAGCGGAATTTTTGGGAAGCAGTAGGGCAGAAAACAGCAGACTCCCTTATGCTACTCTGTATCCCCACAGTGAGCATGCATCAGCTCTGGTCATTCCATCTCAAAGCCTACATCAGAAGACACAGAGAGGTGATTGATAGTGTTATCTGATGTGATGGCTTTCATATGACAAGTGCAGGCTCTGAGGTAAAGAGGCAACTGAGGCAAGGTGTGGTAGTGGTCTGTGGAATTATAAGTGCCATAGGCTAGGCAGCTGAAGGGAAGTTTACTTTGCCATTTCTAGTAACAAGAAATACTTGATACCCAGAGAAATTTTGAAAGGTAGTGAATGGTTTTTCATGCAGAACATAAGATGAAAGAATGGGGCTGAAAGCAAAGTGTTGTTCAGCTTGCTGTGTCTTACTCTTTTCTTACACATTTGCCACTGGTTGTTATCAGAGACAGAGTTTTGGCTAGATGGACACATAACTCTGTGTGGCTGTTCTCACACTCTGTCACGAAACAAGGAATTTGAGATAAATACAATACTGACTCAGGAATTTGACCATGGTATCCAGAGTTGCTGCCTTTTTTTGTCATATTGACAAAAAAAAATATAAATCTCATGGTGTTGCTCTTTTCCCACATGAATCTCATTTGCTCAGGAGGAAAGAAAATGAGCTTGTTGGTAAGTGCTTGTAATAATTCCTCTCTAAATGCTGATAAAAGTAAGGGTGAATTGGAATTTCCATAGTGCAACAGCAACTTAAACTCGGTGTCCTTTTAGGACATTTGGGTACAAAAATAAAGTAAGTCTTGGAGACTTACTTTGACTACAGTTAAATGAAGTTAACAAATAAGGACATTAAACATGAAATTTGTGTTTGTGTACTGGGGTGTGAAAAAAGACTGGAGAAACGCAAGTGCTTTAGTAGTTTGCATCTGAACTAAAGCATACAACTACCAGTCTGCTGCAGAGGAGGAGGTTCTACTGAGCATAAAGTTTGCATTTGCAAAAGACAGCATTTCATTTCAGTGGCATAACTATATCTGTGTATCACTGGGTAGTGCTCTCAGCCTTAAAGATAAGGGATTATAATTGTGTTTTTAGTAGACTTCAGAAGGAGGTGAAAACTCCAATGAACTTTGCTAATGTAATGAAGAAATGAGTTCAGTATATCCTTTTACAGTGTTTGAGGTTTTCTTTGATGTTTATCTCTTTCCTTTAGAGAAATGTGAAGCCTATGATGTGATGATGAGGCAAAGCCTTGTGCCTGTTGGACAGCCTCTTGCTATCAGATGCTCACTGGAAGAGAGCTGGAAAAGTGGAGACCATGACTTAGCGTGGTATAAAGTTGGTAACCAGACAGCTGTGCCTAGAGACAAACTTTCCAGAGTTCATCAGCAGAAGAACTTTATTTGGTTTCTCCCTGCAATGTTAGAAGATTCTGGAGATTATGAATGTGTCATAAGGTGAAAGTTAAATAAATAATATTTACATTGTTACAGAAATGAGTTGCAAGGGGAATAACTTTTACAAAGCAAGTAGAATTTGAAGGCTGGGAGAAATACTAACAAGGGAGAGTGTGTTCACAAAACTAACTTCAGCTTGGAGAAAAGTCTATTTTCGGGTTAATTTTTCTAGCAGGCTGAAGGAAATCTTTTAGAGAAACAAAACTTCTCATCCTCTCTTCTCCATAAAGAAAGATGTATATTTTAAAGTTGGAAAACATGCCAAATAGTTTAATTTAATTATGTTATATTAATTGCAGGAATCTGACAAGCTTGAGGAAAATGTCTACAAAAGTAACAGTTTTTGAGAGGATTGATGGTTTGTGCTTAAATGAAAAATTTGCTGTAGAGGAGGTGGTATTCACATTATCATCTGCAAAGGTGGTGTGTCCACACTTGGAGTATTTCAGGGATGAGGAGAATATTCAGCCTGTTCGTTGGTACAAGGTGAGAATACTGTTTTGTGCTGTCTTAGAACTGTCCAGTATTTAAAACATAGGTCACTGATGTTTGTGAACTGTAGGAATAAAACTAAAGAATTATTGCAAATTGGAGAGAAATGGTTTTAAAACAAACTGGAAGATGATTAAAACTTTTCCTCTTTTAAGGGTGTTTTTTGATTAATGGGATAGAAATTCAGCTTAGATATAGGAGAGATGTTGACCCACATATCCACCAGGTGGCTATTTGCCTGCTAGAGAAACATTGCTGTGACTGACTTCTGTGTGGAGACAGATTTAGTATCTCTGTCAAGGGTGGCGTATCCATGATGTGTTCAGTATTGTTCCATTAAATAAAGGCCATTTTGGATTGTTCATTCTTCCTTAAAATCTCTTTGTTACAAGACTGTAGTAGTGCCTTCTGCACCATTCCTGCCTTGTGCCCATGCAGTCCATAGAGTACCAGAAGTGTTAAAGTACTTAAGAAAATGAAGTCTTAATTACTGAGTGGTTCTTCATTAGTGAATACTTTTACAAATCCTGACACTTGCATTTCAGTTTCTTATTTCTGTAGTATTGAGAGTTGTTCTCTATAGGAAATGGAGCACCTTTGAATTAAAACCTCAGAGCCAGAATGACCCATGTTCTGCTCTTTATTCCACTGCCCTTGCTCTTCCTCAGCCTCAGCAAAGGCGTCTGCCTGTGTGGGGTAGGCCGTTGGAAGTTCAGATTGCATTAAAGAGAGACAAACCATGGGAAAGAGATAGTGATATGAATGAACAGAGTTCTCTGCATGCCTTTAGGACTGCCAGCTGCTGGAAGGGAAGAGGTTTATCTTCTCAAACAGTGATCTTATCATTGCCAATGTGAGTGCACACGATGGAGGGAACTACACGTGTGAAACGACGTACAGCTACAATGGGAAGCAGTACAACATTTCACGGGACGTCCGTCTCACTGTCGAAGGTGAGTGGGTAATTTCACTGTGTGCTTGTAATGAGGACTCCAATTTTGTGTCCAGATTTCTAGAGACTAAAGCTAAGAGGCCAAATTTATGGATAAACATGCTTGGGAGTACTAGTTCTCACCTAAATAGGAGGGAAAAGAATGCTGACTGAGAGTTTATATATTTTTGTCTGTTGTTGCCACTGTGTTGAAGGTTCATTCCCTTGTTCATTGTTGCAGTATGTCAAATCTTTTTTGCCAGACTGGCTGCCAAGGTCCTTAAACAGGTGCCCTGTTAGGCTTGGTAGGCACAATACTTTCTGCTGTGGCTACACCCTCTATCCTGCCTGTCTTCTCTCTTTTTTACATTACCCTCTTGATGCAAAATGGTAACTTAAACTCACCCAAATTATATTAGTGTCTTGGCTCTGTCCTGTTTACTTCAAACATTTGTCTCTTCTGGTTTTGATTTTACACTCCTCAGCACAAGAGCTGCTGATCTCTGATATCTTGTGCCTAGCTTGGTAGACCCTGATTTATGCTGGGGGGCCATCAGCACAACAACACAAAAATAAAAACCAATCCCCACACAAAAAAAAAAATCAAACGACCTAGCTGTAAAACTGGAACTCCTTTGATAGCACAGCATCATGAGATTGATACTGGATCACTGAAAAAGCTGTGCTGTATCAAGGTATGAAATCCAAAACTGTTTTTATGTTCCAGCTGATGAAAGATGTTTTCATGTTTGCTAATAGATTGCATTACTCCAATGATCTCTTTTTGTGCTTGGCTGTTTTGTCTCTGTGTGTGCATATGTGTATATGCATATTCATAGACATGATACAAATATGGATCATTCATATAATATGTATTCATATAATGTCATATGTATATGGTGTAGATAAACAAAATATGAGAAATGTAAGGTCAGATCAGGTTAAACTATAATTTTAGTCTCAAAATCTGGAACTTCTCTCTTAGTGTAATCTCAGCTCCCACTACTCAGGAGAAGCAAAATCATACCAGTCCTTTACTGTAAATGAGTGAAGGCAGCTCAGTTGTTTTTAAAGACTCTAGCTGAGCAAGTATGCACCAAAGTGGGTGATTTGGGGTCCACACAGTAGTGCAGACTCGGTTTTTAGAAGGGGAAGGGAATGATACCTCTGGGGCAATCCTGTGTGCTTTGCTAGGGGCATTAGATGAGATGCTTTATTATTTCTTTTGATTAATTTGTGCTCTTGGAGAAACTTCCTTGAACTTCCAGTATCTGAAACATTCTAAAACGACCTGCATCTGCCTGAGACAGCTGGAAATGGTGTATGTGTTCAGTGAAGGACCCTACAAGTTGGGATTCCTTTAGCCATACTGAGAGACTTCTGATGTAGGTGTTTGGATCTCCACCTGTTGATGACTCTCCCTTTGTAGCCCACAGAGAGAAGTAAGCTTTCTAGACTGTCACATATCTAGTCCTGATGTAAACATCTAAAAGGGTCCACTGGTGTTTTACTTGCCTATATGTAGTGCTATGGAAAGAATTGTAAGGCCTTCAACTAGAGTACAGAAATTAAATTTCCCCCTTATAATAGTGGAAGTCTAAATTAGATCAATTGCCCTCTAAAAGTATTAGGCTTCAGTTTGTTTCTGTGGGGTGCTGGGTGACAGACTGTCCAGACTCTGGAGGGCCAATACTGCCATATTTACCTATACTCAACACTTCCACATGCCATATTGCAGGGGTTTTATGCCATGGAATATTCAGTCCTCCATGAGTGTGTGGAGATTTGTGGCACTACATTTTGGAAGAAGTGAGGGTGAAGAATAATTCAGCATCAAGTCAGAAGTAACAGCTATCTGAGAGATGATACTTTCAGTATGGAGTGAAATCTTCTATAAAATTGCTGTCAACCTTGTCCACAGGACAGGGTTTTTTTGGGTCATACTTGGGTTATAGAGCTAGAACAGGCTGTAACTGCCCTATGTTTTCTAAAAAGCACTGTCTTTCTTTTGGTTAGTGAGCCCACCAAAAAAGCCCCCTGAAATATCTTATCCAAGAAACAACTCAATTGAAGTGGAACTTGGTAAGTAGTTTTCTCTGTAAAATGTAAAAATATGATTTTGTATGCTAGTGAAAATTTATACTCAAGTGCCATATTCTGTGTTTTCTTGGGATTGACAAAACCTGTTCAGTGACTATGTCAGTTTCTTGGTGTTGATCTCCTGAAGCTGGAGTGTTTGAGGGTGAGAAGGAGAGAGACAAGGCATGTTACTTACAAAGTCCTACGGAGATTTCTTGACGGAGAATAAGCGGGAGACAGACACCATTCTATAATGATCGGAAAGCCTCATTTATTAAAGTCCTAGGGAGATTTCTCAGATATAAAGAAAATTGTAGGGAACCCAAATGATTCTTTGTCACATCTGTTGCTTTCAATCACTCTGCAAGAGTTTCTAAGAACAGATCCATCACTGATTCTGCAGGGAAAGTGATGCCCCAGAGAGAGGCATCTTCTTCCTAATTTTAGCCTCTTCCATCCTACCAGCCTCTTTCTGAACCTGCAGATCACTGACTATAGAGCCTCCATTAGAGTAACTTTTCTGAGGGGGCGTGGGACCACCCTTAGCTGGTCTGTGTAGGAATGTGTGAACAGAATTGTACAGACTTCAGTGAGATTAATTAACTTTTCCCTCTGTGCCACAATTTGTAGGCTCACAGGTTACAGTGGATTGCAATACAACAGGTGCTGATGGGTACGAGGTGTTCTGGACAGGCAACGGTGTGTATATTGATGTGTTTTATGTGAGCAGGATTTTTGCAAGTCTTTATGAGTAAGTATGTTTTCAGATTACAAAATACCACGTTGGCAACCAAAGTGGAACTTTCTCCCTTAATATTTAACTTTTTTCACTTGCTTAAATAGCTTTCTTTATAAGAACTCTAACGCTTGCCTCCTCTAACTCACTTTATGCTTTGAAGTAGAAACTTGAAACATAGTAGGCACATGAACTTGACATGTGATTGTGCTCTTTTTGGTCATTGTAAAGATCTGTCTTAATTTCCAACCTTGAAAAAGGTGTTTTGTTGACTTACAGTCTCATAATTGTAATATGGTTTATGCTTGACTAGGTAGTTTCTTTTGTGTTTGAGATCTGCTGTTGATAAGGTAGTGGTGTCCATCATCTTGCTGGTGGTTAAAAAGTTTATTCACACATCAGTCACTCATCATGGTACACATGGCTCACAAAACGTGCAGCATAGTGAGCATTTTGGTGGCCTTGGACAATGCATGGAGGGCTGTCTGTGTCTCTTAATGGTGCAGCCTGACACTCCAGCTGTTCCAAGTCTGTTCTGATCCATGGGATGAAGCAGCAGTTCAGACTCCACTCCTTGCAGCTGGAAGCACACTGTGAGTTGGTGTAGTCTGCTGCAGGTGAGGACCTTTGGTGTCCTCCCTGTCCCAGAGCTGCTTACTGCCCTTGTACCAGGGCCTCTTCCTGTGGCATATCACATTGTGGAATTGCCCTCTCTCTCCAGGTACTCTTACAGGGGCTGGGAAGCCCATAGCAAGAGTTTGCATAGGTTTGTAAGGTATATTTTTATACTTCAGCCTATCAAAACACTTCATTCCTTTCTGGAGACAGCTCCAGATGTGGTAACATCCTGATGTTTCCCAACCTCTGTGCTAAATGTCAGGGAGAGACCCAAATACTGTTTGTGTATAATGTAACTGCTCATCTCTTCTGAAGCGTGGTGGCCATCTGCAGATGAAACCACCACTGTCATGCTGCAGCTGTTGGTGAGGAAGCCTTTCCAGAAGGGGCTGGGGGGTTATGGCTCTGTCTGTCTGTTGCCTTTTTGGACAGGGAGGGAAGTTCTTACGACGGGCGCCCTGTGTATTCTGTGAAGCTCATCATTTCAGAAGTGAATAGTGAAGATTATGAGCAACCCTTTGTCTGTCAAGCTTCAAATGCCTTTGGGCAGGTTGCATCCTACATTATATTAAAACACAGAGGTAAGAAGTGCTGGTATTTTTGAGGCCTGTGTTTGTCTGGACTTCTCCAGAAGGGATTTTGATACCAAATGCTTATATATCATGTTGATAGATGACAGAGTGATTACAATTAGCAGGAGGTATTCATGCACCTGTGCATAGGAAAGGAGTCATTGTAATAGTGTATTTATCATTATTAAAAAAAAATTAAAAATCAAAAGTACAAAAAATACTCAAATTTGTATTATATATGTGTGAAAGAGCAGATTTGGACAAAGTCAGTATTTAAATACCAATGTTCTTATATTTTTGTGCAGAGCCTGATACACAAAGACAGCTGGCTGGAGGTCTTGTCTCTTTGTTAATTTTACTATTTATTGCTTTAATAACCTACAAATTTTTCAAGATTGACTTGGTGCTTTGGTACCGTCGTTCAGTCTGTGCCTTTGCCAGTGAGGAAGGTATGTGAGTGTGACCAGGGATGCTACTGTAAGTAGCCTGTTGACTTTTTCACTTGCCATTATTTCTGAGCAATAATCTGATTATTTAATAGAATGCATGTGGAATTTCCTTGAGGAATTTTGAGAGATGCATAAAGACATTTTAGGGAGGGGGATGGATTTTTTCAGTCTTATGAGTAAAATAGTTGAGGTAATAAACACAGCATAACATTGAAAGCAGTCACAGTGAGACAGGCCAAAAAGAACTACAGGTTATTCCTAAATTAGCATGTTGCTTTTTGCTTTTCTGTGAAGTAGTTTCATAACGTGAAGATTTATGGTCACTCTGATGATGACCAATAGGTGTCAGCAGAGCTACATCCTGTAAACTAGCTGTTTAAAGCCATGCATTAAATATTTGTATTGAAAGTCAGGCTCTCATTCTCTCAGAGGTTAATTTTGCTGTTTTTCTTATTTTTTTTTTTTTTTCAACCACTTTTACTCAACACTTTCCTTCTAAATCCTAACAGTTATGTTTACATGCTAAAGAGAAAAAATGCTCCTACTTCTCTTTTCTGTGATCTTTCTGAAGTGTTTTGATGGTTGTGATGTAGACAAATACATTGGACAGGTGTGAAAAAATTGGAATAAGTGCAACATTATAGATATTTTGCATGGCAGCACTCAGAAATAGACTGTCTGAAGTTCTCTGTAGCTTGAAAGTAAATGGCTTTTGTGTATTGAGACAGTTAATGTTTACTCTTGGCTGTTCTGAATGTTTTCACAGAAAAGTAATTTCAACTTCTAGTTAAAAGTCCACATTTCCCAGAACACCTTAATAGCTTTTCAATTAAAAAACAACAACAAAACCCAACCCACAAACCTATGCTTTGGAGCTTGTTGACCTAAACTTAATTTATTGAGTTAAATCTGATCTTGGTTTGCTTTCTTCATTTCTGTTAATCATGGAATTTTAACTCTCAAAACCTCAAGCTGGCCTTTTCTTCTGCTTGCCTTTCCCCCACAGAATTATTACAAGAACAAACTGACATTTTCCACCCTCTCTTGTGGTTAGTCAGAAGTGGAGATGATGGCTCTTGGGTTTGTTTCAGAAGGGGTAGTGAAGGAAGTCCTGCAAGAGGATGCTTTGTTAATGTCCTGGCACCTCTGGGCCTGGGGGCTCCCTCCTGCAGGTCCCAGGTCCTGCATCCAGCTCACTTGCTGGTACCCCATCATGGGAGAAGTCATCAGGTTCTGCTGGTCATCAGCTGCCTTTTGATCTGTGGAGCAGTTTAGTGCTTTGACGTTGTTCCACCAGCTAGGTGAATCAGCCCCTCATTACTATTTTTAAGAAGTCCAAAAGGAAACCTTGCAATAAAGGCATGTTGCTGATTTTTAGGGTTTTTTTTAACAGAGATGTGTTTGTTTCAGATGGGAAGGTTTATGACGCGTGTGTCCTGTACCCAGCAGGCAGTGGAGGAGGAAGCTCCTGTCACCTGGAGGCCTTTGTTCATAGAATACTCCCTGATGTTTTAGAACAACAATGTGGATATAACCTCTTCATATTAGGAAGGGATGATTTACCAGGAGAAGGTATGCTCTAGTTAGTTGGCTTTTTCTAGACACATTGTTCCTGGATTAGAAGGTTATATATACAATTCAAAAATGGCTATTTTTGTAAAATAAAGCTGCATTTATTTTTAGAGGGTACATTATCAATTTGTCCAATGGACCATTTTTTTGTTTTGGTTTGTTTTGTTTTTGTTTTTGTTTTTTACCAAAAATTCTGTTCTAATGAGGATCTGCACTTTCTTTTTAGTGATGGACAAATTAGGATTCAACAGCATTAGCAGTATTGTTGAGGTTTTCTGAATGATATCTGCTCCTGGGGACTGTAGAAAACATTTTTTTTATCAGTAACTTCCTGCAATAGATCATGAACCATGAATGACTATGGAGGCCTTAAACCTACCAGTCCTCTGAGCTAGCCACTGCTCCATATATTTGCAATTTTAAACTAGGAAATATTTTACATCAGTGGTAAAGTTTCTCTTCAGATTGTGATTTTTTTTCTTCATTACTTCTAGCTGTGGTCAGCGTTGCTGATGAAACCCTTAAGCAAAGCAGAAGACTGATGATTATTTTGGGATCAGAAACATCTAGTTGTTGCCTGCTAGAAGACACCTCTGAACAACAACTAGCTATGTATAATGCTCTCATCCGTGATGGGATTCAAGTGATTCTTATAGAAATGGATGAAGTACAGGACTACACAAGCATGCCAGAATCCATCAGATACATTAAACAAAAACATGGAGCTATCCAATGGAAAGGGGACTTCTCAGAGAAATCTTGTTCAGCAAATACAAGATTCTGGAAAAAAGTGCGCTACCAAATGCCATCTAGGAAGAAGGTATCTTATTCTGAAGTGTATTTGTTGCCCCTAACTGTGGAAAATTCTGCAGCAAGGGGAAGTTAAAATGCACTTACTAAAATAATACCAAGAAGGTAATTCTGAAATGCGAGAGTTTTTTTTTTACACAAATTCTTTATGTTATAAAATAGGTGTTTTCTTCAAGGAGTAAAAACTGCTCATCCCTTCCCCAGATTACACACTGAAAGAAAAAGGAGTCACACAGATGTGAGAAGTAAACATTGCTTGATGTTGGTAGACTACTGAGTAGTCGTGGTCCATATAAATGTAACATCCACTGAAGAAGCAGCTGTGAAGTCCATTTTTTTTTTTTTTTTTAATTTAAACTGTACTTGATAAATTAAAAATCTGTTTCTGACACCAGCATTTTTCTAGTCATTCTGTTCTTGTTGCCTCTACATGATTGTCTGACTTCCTCATTACTGCAAGGATCTACACTGCGCAAGCTCTGGAGCACCCTCCTGAGCAACAGGCCTTATCCTTGCCTCTTGAATGGGTTGGGGAAATACAATGTCTGAACTGTGCTAACTTAAAAGCACAGAAATTCCCTGAGAATCTATCAAAGGGCTGTGCTGGAGCTCAGTATCCTGGAGAGAGTGGAAAATGGCCAGCTCTGAAGCACGACCAGGTGCTGATGGCAAGAAATAATATCTTGTCTGCTTGTGAAAGAAAAATTTAGAGGCATGTGGCTCTGTCCACCTGCTTGGGAGTAGCTTGGTATTTCTGGACCCCATTCCATTATTCTGTGTGCATCACCATAAGAAAAACAACATGCTTCCTTTTAAGGTGGTCTGAAGCTGCAAGAGCTTTCATGCTGCAGCATTGAAGAACATCATCTGAATGCAAATGTGAATTCTGCTTGCTTTTTTTTGTTGTTGTTTCTGAGGTTAAGTAGGTTCTTACATTACCTTTGTTGTCAGAACAGCATGTCACTGAATTCCTTTCAGCTGGTTCTCAGAGGTGTGCATGCTGTAGAATATACTCTTCATTGGGCTGTGTTGATGGGACAGAAAGCAAGGTCCAGGAGTGGAACCTATGTTTAAAGTGAAAGATTTGCAATAGCATTTCATGGTACCTTTTTCTTTGAGAAGGTCTAGCAAATACTCCTTTGGAGCAGTGTCTCATCCTCCTGGCTGTGGGTTTTCCACAGCCTCCATTGACTAGAGGCTTCTGAGATGTCACCATGAAACCCAAGGACAGGGTAGATCCATCAGATGAGGTACTATTGTTCTAGTAGATGCTGAATCAGTCTTCTTTGGAAATGTGTAACATTTAGGCTGAAACCTTCAAAAAATAAATTTAGGAGCCTAGAGAGTTTAGCTAATGACTATTGTCAGATTTTTACATTGTGTTCAGACTTGCTCAGAGAAGTGTTGAAAATTACTTTCCTTCAAAGATTTTTTTTTTCACTTGTGTTTAAAAACAGAAGCCTCTTATTTTCCATGTAGAATGAGAGAAATAATAAAAGATGTTGAAACTGTGGTAATTTTTTTTTGTCAACTTCCTAATTTCATATGCTTTGAAATAAAAAAATAGCAATGACTCTAGGGTTTGCAGTACTGCAGGTAAGGACATTGACTTGTGTGGAGCTGTGCTTGTGTTTGTTGTTGCTTCTGTGAATGTGCTAACATTTCTGGCCACTTTTTCCATTGTTCTTTTCAGAGGTTTGCTACAGTAGTCAAGATACATATTTCTGGACCAAACAGGACTCCTAAGGACTCCTAAGTGATGACAGGTGATTGTGAGTCAGCATTTTCCATGTGATACTTCATTTTAAACAACTGTTTTTGTGGGCATTTTAGTATTCTTGTGTGAAAATGAGCATGGGAGAAAGGTTGTAGTTAATGGTTAGCTAACTACTTGAATGTAGCAGGACATGAAGTGGCTTATCCTTCCATCACGGGACTTGATTTGAAGCTGAATTTTGTCTTTGTTTTCTTCCCTTTGAAACTTTTTTTTCAAGTCACATAGGAAAAAACTTATTTTTTGTAGTACAATAGAAGAACCCCTGTAGAGACACATTTGCTTATTGCTTTTTATTAAAAACCCAAAAACAATTCCACAAATGAGTAGTTACCTAGAGATCTGCTTCTGGAAACGTGGTAGTTTCAGAAGGAAAAGGCAAATGCAGTGTAATCCATGAAAAAGTATTTGTTCACCACAGTGTAGCAGATATATTTCAGTTTATTGTCTGCCTAGGCTGACAGAGAAAACAGACTGAACAGTATGTGGTGCAAGATAAACTGAAAGCATTCTCTGCACCATTTTTTACTTTTTAACCATATTTGTGTGGAATTTCTTCTGTGCACTTGTGCCTGTCAGTTTATTTGGCACTCCAGATTGCCCCTTCCCTTTCTTGCCTTGTGATTAACTTGTCTCAAATTTTCTAATTCCACTATGTCTTTCCATCTGTACTGTGAGGCGAGTTTTTTTTTCTGGGAGACTATCCTCCTTTCATAATTTTCCTCTCATATCCCAGTTTCTTACCATATCTAGTGCTGAGATACAGCCTGTTTCACATTTTAATGTACACATCCCTGGCTGTACTAATTCAGGGAGAGAGGCTTATGTGACAGGAGGGAGCATGTGCTCTGAGCCCAAACCAAGGGAGCTGTTACAGCCTGCTGGAGGCCCCAGATGGGACACCCATGGTTGACTTTCTTTTTTTTCATTTTAATTTACCTCTGTATTGCATCCTAGAAGGTAGAAGAGCACCAAGGTGATTTTACATTTCCCTTTTATCTTGGTACCTTGAGCTTCTGCTGGGGAGGGGGACAGCCCATTCTCCCTTTTGTTCAGAGGCTGTGGTAGTTCTAACTGGTGGACCTCCTGCCATAGCTGCAGTTAGCTTAAAGATGAAGCAGGCAGAGTACAGTTAATGTTTATAAAAACTGGGCTGAGGAGAGTAATTTTTTCCCTAGAAATACTTCAGGATATTCTTACATTGTAGAGCTTCAGAATACATGTTAAGTAAAATAGCAGCTAGCAGCTTTACTCCAGAGCACTCCCAGGTCTCTGGCTTAGTCATAGATGCTGCAACACATGAACACAGGAGCAATAGAACTTCCTCCTCTTATCCCTACCCTCATTATTCCCAAGAGTAAAAGCAATGTACACCTTTACTTTCTACTTAAGTCTATGCTTGTGCTCTTCTAAGATAGGATAATATTACCCAGGACCTGATGACTTTCTTGAGACAAAGTGAACATTAGTCACTAAAAGTGAACTAGAAAGTAGCACGTACCACTTGTGTCCTCAGCCTGCTCTAAGGTTGCTTCCCACGTTGAAATTGATTGGAAATAGAACTCTGATGTCTGCTGGGCAGTGAGGGCACAGTTAAAAATGACAACTCCTGTGAGACTTCCTCTGAGAGAGCACCCAGGTCACTGTGGCATGGCTGCTGGAGCCAGAGCTCTGCCTGGCAATGAGGGTGGTTATCAGGAGCTGGCATTTCACTGGGAAGAAAGTAGAAAGCTCACCGAGTCACTAAGATGAATTTTTTGCTCCAGAAAGGCTGGGTTTGAATTGCTGCTTCAGATCAGGTGGCTTAGATGTGTAAATTTTTTGTTTTCTGGTTTGTTTTTGCCCCCAGTAACTCATTTTGTCTTGGCCTTCTTTTTTTTTTTTTAGCACAGCAGTGGCTGCAGTAGAAGGGGAATTTTGAACACTGTTTCACTGGATTTATTTTTTGCACTAAGCAATTTCCCTGATGGGCCTTATTAAATAAATGGCAATTATTAAAAAAAAAAAAAAAAAA